TGCGTGCGTGCGTGCGTGCGTGCGTGTGTGTGCGTGTGTGTGTGCGTGTGCGTGCGTGTGTGTTTGTGTGCGTGTGTGTGCGTGCGTGTGCGTGTGTGGCGTGTGCGCGTGTTCGTGTGCGTGTGCGTGCGTGCGCGCGCGCGTGTGTGTGCATGCATTCGTGTATGGCAGAGAGCATTGAGTGAAATATTTGATTGCGTGACAGAAACGACTTGGCGTATCATTACTGGGTGACAGCAACAGTAAAAATGTCCTAATTTGGTGACACAAGCAAACATGCTGACTTTCCCTGGCGACATGTGCGCGTGTGTGTTTATGTGTGATGAACCCTTGAACAGGAAATTATCAGTAATAATAGGCAAAAGTGTGATAATACACTTCGTGTTTATTCACCATCATTTTATTATTGAAACGTTCCAAGTGTCATTGCTGAGGAGGCCTATATATAGAAACTATAGCACATGTACATATAGAAACTATAGCACATGTACATATAGTATGTATAGTACATATGTAGAAAGTATATATGCACACATATGTAGAAAGTATAGTTCGTGTATCATAGCGACTAGGACATTATTTCCAAAACTCAAATTCGAAAATTTCGTCAAATTTCGAAAAATTAACAATTTTTTCTCGCTTTGTCCGTCTATCGCAGGATCGACAGAGCGACGCAGCGATGCGATAAACGGCGAGCGACGAACGACATGGCGACAATGACCCTCCCCCAGGGGGCGCTGCCGCATCAGCAGCCGCGCAGTCGGCTTTCGATCACGACGACGAAGGGTCTGACGAACCACCCGGGCGAGAACAACTGCTTCCTGAACAGCGCCGTGCAGGTAAGAACAACCGCAACCGCCAGGTGGCGCCAGTGATGCCTCAGGTGGCGCCATCTTTCGTCGCACGATGTCGTAGCAGGGTGGAGGCAGATAGGGGGGTGGGGGGGGTTGTGCAATCCTCAATTACACGTACTTTTGCACTGCTGCAAATACCACGCAATACGCACGCGCACGTGCATACACCCACGCACGCACCCACGCACGCACCCACACACACACACACACACACACACACACACATTTCAAGCTGAAAACTACGCAAATCGCTGTCATACTCATATCTCTATTATATGTACTCTTGATTAACATAGTCCATCAATTGTTGATAGGCTCTCGCATATATATATATATATATATATACAGTATATATGCATCTCAGGTTAAACTTCAAGACCGCTGGGCATGTGTATGTGTGTATAGCCTAGCTGCGGATCCAAGAAGGCGCTTATAGGTACACAAGGTGCTGGTGTGCACACACACAGCTGCGAGCGTTGGTGTTGCTACTGTTATAACCTACATAATAATAATATAAATAAATAAATATAACACAATAACACAATAATGTGGGGAGGCGCGTTTCAAACACAATTAGTGCGCTATGGGCGGGTTTCAAACCACAATTACTGCTGGCGGGAGCGCGGGTATACAAACACTAATAATTGTTGCCGCGGGCAGGCCGTTTCAAACACAATTATGTGGGAGGGGGTTTCAAACACAATTATGTGGGGGAGGGGGTTTCAAACACAATTATGCTGTGGTTAAGCAAGCACACCGATGAAGCAAATGCGCAGGTAGCTCCGTAACGCCTGCCAAGTAGCAATGAGGTGGCCGTAACACATCCACAGTTATTGGCAAGTGCCGTTTTAAAGACACGCCATGTGGGGAGGGTTTAAAGACAGCGCAGTGACGGAGGTTTCAAATACCAGTGATCGTGCGAGGCAAGGGGATTTTAACACACCAATGGCGGGAAGCGGGATTTTAAACCTTATACTATATTGCATACATAGCAAAGTTTTTTTAACGGCACTGATGTAAGGGCCCACAGTACACTGCCAAAGCTTTGACTGACAGGCATCTATCTATCTATCTATCAAGAGCTAATAATATCTCTAAAGCAGCCGTATTATTAGCATCTTGTAATCCTAATCTATCTATCTAGCTATCTCTCTCTCTCTCTCTTCTCTCTCTATATTACAGGCGATGAGCATTCTTCAGCAGGCATCCGCGGAAATCGCCGATTGACAGTCCAGGGTCGATTGGTGAAACAATCAAATTCGTTGCAGAAAAATTGGAGGCTGGCCAGGTAACAACTGTAACAATTTAAATTATATAATACCTCAACAGCACCTGACTGTAGACTGATAAGATGTAGACCCATAGGCCTGACAGCGCAAGTATACAGTGTATCTGTTCTTGCGTCCAGAAAAAAAATACCTACGTTCACAGGCTGCATACTAGAGCGCAAAACATTCGCAGTCAAGCTGATCACGCTAACGACCATGCCGCCTGTGGGGCCGGGTCTAAGTTTGCTGCGGCATAGTTCTGCTGTCCGATGACTATTTGCACGATTGTTACCATTCGCATCTCGTGCTTTTTTCATTCAAATCTCTCGCAGCAATGGGCACCTTGATGTCATGAGTAAAAACATATGCCAAGCGCGAGGTGGAAACAGAAACAAGCCATCATTATGTCATAGACATTTAATAAAAAAAATTCTGCCCTATTTTCAGCCCCTGAATTCTTATTATAGTTCGTTGCATTCCTTTGACAAACTTGAAAGGTGATCAAGCCAGTCTCCTAACAATGTTCAGAATAGCTCATAGAATGCACCAATTGCCACCATTTCTTTTTAAAAATTACGGGCAGCACTGCCCCGGACCCCCCTAGCATGCATGACTACGGTCCTCGCCATTGCTCGCTCCTCGTTTCTAATCTAAAATTTCAGCTGAAACATTAAATTATCAATCTCATCCCTGTATATATATATATATATACGACTATAACTATATATATATATATATTATATATCATGCTGACATGATATCTATTTACGCTATCAGTGTAAACTCGTTGCCTACTTGGCACGACAACAACCATAATCTCATACCGATACTATCAGTATAGTGTCATATTATGACACTATTGATACACTATACCAAGAGTAGATAATAACACATTCTGTTATTATCTACTCTTGACTATACACATTCAGACCTTACTACGCGTGTGTACTCTAACTGACAGCAATGGTATGTCAGCTATGTGGGTGTGTAAGTGTATTCGCAAGCCTGTGTATGTGTATTCGCAATTCTTGTGTGCTTAGATGCGAACGAGATCGCAGATCAACCGCAGATATACGGGCTCTCAGAGTTCACAGGTTCAGAACTCAGTGAATCGATAATCAAATCCGGATTCGGTAAAGCGGATCTGATAGAACGGATCTAATAGAACGGATTTAATAGAACGGATCCGATAGAACGGATTGATAGACGGATCTAATAGAACGGATCCGATAGAACGGATCTATTATAGAACGGATCTAATAGAGCGGATCTAATAGCGCGGATTCGATAGAACGGATCCGATTTAGGATTAGCAAGCTACGGCTGCAGCAGTGGCACGCTCGTGACGTCACCTTATCTCGGTTGAATTTCGAACCAAGCAAGCAAGCTTGGTGGAGCAGCAGGAGTTTCAGTGTGGCGCGATAGGAGAAGGGCACCCCCATAGACCGAAGGTCCGATAGACCGAAGGTCCGATAGACCGAATATTGAAAAGGGACCTATAGACCGAAGGTCCGATAGACCGAAGGTCCGATATACCGAAGGTCCGATAGACCGAATATTGCAAAGGGTTAGGGTTAGAGTTAGGGTTAGAGTTAGGGTTAGGGTTAGGGCATTAGGCTATTATGATTTATAGTGGCATCGGTGAATGTGCGGCATATTCACGTTAGAATACGGCATCAGTGGATGTCCGGATGCGTAGCCTGGTGGCTAGGCGACCGATTCCGGACGTGTAGCCACTGCGTATTCGAATAAACCTTCGGTCTATCGGGCTTTCGATCTATCGGGCTGTAACCACCTTATCTCGGTTGAATTTCGAACCAAGCAAGCAAGCTTGGTGGTGCGGCAGGAGTTTCAGTGCACGGCGCGATAGGAGAGCGTCAGGTAAATAAGACGTGTTCGACAGATTGCTTTATCTGCGGCAGTGGTTTTGTTAGCGGTGCATATTTGTCGCGTTTGTGCGATTACAGGTGTGGGCAAGTTTATGACGGGTCATAACGCTAAATGTTTCTAGTAGCGAGGCCGTATTCTTTTGTAGCTGTGTGTGTGTGTGTGTGTGTGTGTGTGTGTGTGTGTGTGTGTGTGTG